CTGCGACCGCCCGGAGCCGGGCCAGTCAGGTCTGCTGCGACCGCCCGGAGCCGGGCCGGTCGTCGCTGACCGCCCGGAGCCGGGCCAGTCAGGTCTGCTGCGACCACCCGGAGCCGGGCCGGTCAGGTCGCTGTCGCCCGCGGAGCCGGGCCAGCATATCTGCGCACCGGTCCGGAGCCGGCCGGTCAGGTCTGCTGCGACCGCCCGGAGCCGGGCCGTCAGGTTCTGCTGCGACCGCCCGCAGCTGGCCAGTCAGGTCTGGCCGACCGCCCGGAGCCGGGCCAGTCAGGTGCTCTGCGACCGCCCGCCCGGAAGCCGGGCCAGTCAGGTCTGCTGCGGACCCGCCCGGAACCGGGCCGGTCGGGTCTGCTGCGAGACCAGCCCGCAGGGGCCAGTCAGGTGCTGCGACAACCCGCCCGGAGCCGGGCCAGTCAGGTCTGCTGCGACCGCCCGCAGCCGGGCCAGTCAGGTCTGCTGCGACCGCCCGGAGCCGGGCCGGTCGCGCCTGCTGCGACCGCCCGGAGCCGGGCCAGTCAGGTCTGCTGCGACCGCCCGGAGCCGGGCCGGTCGGGTCCGCCGGTCGCCCGCCCGGAGCCGGGCCGGTCAGGTCTGCCGGTCGCCCGCCCGGAGCCGGGCCGGACAGGTCTGCCCGTCGCCCGCCCGGAGCCTGGCCGGGTCTGGCCCTGCCCGTCTCGCCCGCCCGGAGCCGGGCCGGTCGGGCCCTGCCGGTCGCCCGCCCGGAGCCGGACCGGTCAGGTCTGCTGCGACCCGCCCGGAGCCGGGCCAGTCCAGGTCTACTGCGACCGCCCGGAGCCGGACCGGTCGGGCCTGCCGGTCGCCCGCCCGGATCCAGACCGGTCGGGTCTGCCGGTCGCCCGCCCGGAGCCGGGCCGGTCATGTCTGCTGCAACCGCCCGGAGCCGGGCCGGTCGGGTCCGCCGGTCGCCCGCCCGGAAGCCGGGCCGGTCAGGTCTGCCGGTTCGGCCCGCCCGGAGCCGGGCCGGACAGGTCTGCCCGTCGCCCGCCCGGAGCCTGGCCGGTCGGGCCTGCCCGTCGCCCCGCCCGGAGCCGGGCCGGTCGGGCCCTGCCGGTCGCCCCGCCCGGAGCCGGACCGGTCAGGTCTGCTGCGACCGCCCCGGAGCCGGGCCAGTCAGGTCTACTGCGACCGGCCCGGAGCCGGACCGGTTCGGGTCTGCCGGTTCGCCCGCCCGGAGCCAGACGGTCGGGTCTGCCGGTTCGCCCGCCCGGAGCCGGGCCGGTCATGTCTGCTGCAACCGCCCGGAGCCGGGCCGGTCGGGTCCGCCGGTCGCCCGCCCGGAGCCGGGCCGGTCAGGTCTGCCGGTCGCCCGCCCGGAGCCGGGCCGGACAGGTCTGCCCGTCGCCCGCCCGGAGCCGGGCCGGTCGGGCCTGCCGGTCGCCCGCCCAGAGCCGGGCCGGCCGGGTCTGCCGGTCGCCCGCCCGGAGCCGGACCGGTCAGGTCTGCTGCGACCGCCCGGAACCGGGCCGGTCAGGTCTGCCGGTTGCCCGCCCGGAGTCGGGCCGGTCAGGTCTGCCGCGGTCGCCCGGAGCCGGGCCGGTCAGGTCTGCCCGTCGCCCGCCCGGAGCCGGGCCGGTCAGGTCTGCCCATCGCCTGCCCGGAGCCGGGCCGGCCGGCCGGCCGCCGGATCGCCGTCACGTCCAACAATCGATACGGCGGCGCCCGGCGCGGCCGCGCGTCACTGCACGATTTCTCCCGGGAGCGGCGCGCCCTCCCGCTCAAACACACATCAGTCGCATCCCGTCGGCAGGCGCCGAGCACCCTCCCGCTCAAACACACATCAGTCGCATCCCGTCGGCAGGCGCCGAGCACCCTCCCGCTCAAACACACATCAGTCGCATCCCGTCGGCAGGCGCCGAGCACCCTCCCGCTCAAACACACATCAGTCGCATCCCGTCGGCAGGCGCCGAGCACCCTCCCGCTCAGACACACATCAGTCGCATCCCGTCGGCAGGCGCCGAGCACCCTCCCGCTCAAACACACATCAGTCGCATCCCGTCGGCAGGCGCCGAGCACCCTCCCGCTCAGACACACATCAGCCGCGTCTCGTCGGCAGGCGCCGAGCACCCTCCCGCTCAGACACACATCAGCCGCGTCCCGTCGGCAGGCGCCGAGCACCCTCCCGCTCAAACACACATCAGTCGCGTCCCGTCGGCAGGCGCCGCGCGCCCTCCCGCTCAGACACACATCAGCCACGTCCCGTCGGCAGGCGCCGAGCACCCTACCGCTCAGACACACATCAGCCGCGTCCCGTCGGCAGGCGTTTGGCGCGGCCGCGCCGCCCGCCCACCTGCACACGGCCACCGGGACGGGGGCGTCTGTGAGGCAGGCCGGCTGCGGCTGGTGGGCTCGGACTGGATATCGCCCTCCAAACTCTGCGGGCTATCACCAGCAGCCGGGGGAGGGACGCCGAGTGGCGTTTAGCTGGAACTTCCCGGAAACTTGGCAGCGTGGCGGGGCCATCTGGACGATGCTCTACTCGCCTCCGTGCGCGCAGTTCAAGATGAAAGCTCAGCTTTAGCAAACTCAGCTCAGCCAAGTGCAGCTGTTGGGATATTGCAGATACGGGGCGTTCAGCGGGCTTCCGAGCGCGGATATTATGGCGGCCGAACCTTGTGTGTGGATGCGCCGAGACTGCTGATTGACTGTTCCCGGCGGAAACGGCCCCAGCTTGCCGCTGGCTGCACATCAAAAAAGGAAAAGCCGAACGCCGTCTGTACGGCCATTCGGGCCACTGAGCACAGGGAACGACACGCCGAGCCCCGCCTGAGGTTCTCCGGGTGCTGTGGCATCCATGTGTAAACAATTGATTTTGCCAAGCGCTGGCGACGGAAACGGCGGGTTTAAGGAGCGCCGCCCGCGGAAACATCCCGGTTCTCAGCGTTGTGGAGACCTGCGAACATCCGGCGCGCAATCGTTCGCGCCGCCGCACTGGGCTGGCAGTGGCGGGCTCAGCCAGCTCCTGGCCGGAGTCGACCAATGCGGATTTGCAGGCTCATAATAGCAGAGTCGACGCCATTCGGAGCTGGCCTTCTCCAGGGCAGTGCTCGTCCGTCTGAAGCGGTGCCGGCACGTGCCGGTAACGGATTTTCATAAAATATGCAATTTCTCGTCCGGGCAGGGATGGGGCGCACTGAAAGCTGGCGTACGGACGGTCTGCAGTACAACTACCTCGGCTGCGCTGGCTCCAGCGAGACCGTTCCCGGGGCAGGGAGCGCGCCGAAGGCGGCGGACGGCGCTCCGCGACTGGCCGCCACCGTCGGTGACGCAGACAACAGTCTCGTGCGCCGTCCTGCAGCCGCCACGGGCGTCGTGGGTGAACGTGCCCGCTGACTGTGACGCGGCCGCTGCCAGCGAGAGCAGTACGCACGCCTCTCGTGGGGCGGGGCTCGCCCGCGCCTCCCGCCGGCCGCGCCGGCGCACCTCACGCGGCTGCTCGATAAAGCTGCTCAGCATGGCGCCACTCAAATGCTGAGCAAACACCCAGCTACACAAACACCAACGCTCGCCTTAAAGACACAATGGAAATAAGGCAGGATGCCAGAGGAAATATGCCCTGTGAATATCGGCGAAAAAGCTTGACAATTTGGAACTTCGTATGCTTTCTTTTTATATTTGGACGGGCAGGCAGTTTGTCAGCACTGATGGTGCTGCTCGAACAAGTCTACTTCATGCGATCAGAAAAGTCAGGGGTCAACTAAAACAAAAAAGTATAACTAGAAGGTAGGTTTCTTTGGCTGAACATGCCCATCGGTATTTCGCAAGCCGCGCGTGTATGTGGACAAGTGCTTTTGTTTTTTTATATTATGTTGGTAAGTGTTTAGATGTTCTAGGAATCTTCCAGCGACCCACACACTGATGGACATTTATTTTGTGAACAACTTGCCCTCCTTATCCCGAACCTTCTTAAATTATTCCATTGATAACAACTTTGGTTTTCGACTCTCGGGCATCTTGCCGCAAAGACGCGAACGTTCGAAATCAGGACCGAGGCGAAGTCTTAGTTTTGCTCCAAACATCATTCTACTATTTAGGCTTAGCGACGTAAATAGGTGCTAAGACGATATCAAGCAAAAATACCACGTGATCCCATTATCCAATTATGAGGCAGGCGCGAATCAAATATGGCGCATCAACAAAAGTAATTGCCTTCGCTGCACTGGATTCAAAACAGTCGAATTAGTGCCACGCAAACGTTTTGATAGGGAATGGGGTTAAATTAAATCCATGTCGAAATTAGGCGGATATAGGGCTGCAAAATTTCTTGAAAAGTGTGGCGTTGAACCGCTCAGCTTTGCCAAAGTGGATGAAACGCACATTAGTGTAGCGACAAACACGAACATGACTTGTTATTCCAGCTCTGGGTCAAAGTACCCCATAAATTTAATTATAGAAAACATGGAGTCAGCTCTTCCACAGCTCCCAACATGCTGACTAGCTGCGGGCCCCTTCCTTTTTTTCTTTTTCACACGTTTTTTTTTATTTTGCTCCGTTTGGCCCATTCGAAAAGAGCACCAGCAGCGGTGCGGCAGTCTTGTTATTTCTCCTGTCATGGCCGGCACGCTGCACTGCTTCTCGCGGCGCCGCCAACGACTTGGCTGGCATTATCATCGTCACTGCGTTGCCACGCAATTGCAGTGACTCCCCTAGTCACGACAGAGTCACCCCACCCAGTGCATTGTTCACGTGTGGACAGGTGTCTGCCACGCATTGCTTCCATCAACGCGACGCGTCGCCGACGGCGGGGCGTCACGGCGCACCCCGTCAACAGACCGCTGCGAACGGCCGCGAGCAGCCGCCGTGACCTGCCGCCACCACGGTCCGAGCGGACTGAGCCATCGGCCACATCGGTACGGTGGCGTTCGTGCGGCGCTCTGCGGCCCTGAGAGCCGCGTCGCTCTTCGGATGCGTGCGGATGTGGAACGCCTGCGCATGCAGAAGCATGGCCATGAGCAGGGACTTACCCGTGCCTGTTGAGACGGTATTGGGGCCTCTTCATCATGAGGAGACGCGGCAGAATGTGAATGAAGACCCGTTTGACCCACGGCGCCATTCGGTGGGTCTGGGGTGACCGGAAGTGGACGTTCAGCACTACGACGGTAACTCCGATGCTGTGAATAAAAAAATCATGACAAGGTCACGTGTTGTCACAATATGTCAATGAACAATATGTCATTCAAGTCCTGTCATGCCATAAGTCATGCGGCGATCAAGGCCAGGAAAAATATAATTGAAAAGGCGTGCGTATCTGGCATTCCTAAGCATGATTACCAGATATAGCGGCTGTCAAAATTATGCTGTCTAAAGCAGTCTTTTCTACTTAGAAAGTATACCAATACTTCGAAGTGATCTTGTTTCATCATACCTTATGCTTGCTTCAATGTCTTCAAATCTGAAATATTCCCTCAAGCGTGGTCTGCAAAGAAACTGGCAACGCTGCTGCGATCTGACAGCCAACAGCAAGCTGAAAGCGACTAAGCAAAGTGAGGGGCCATGGGCATCGAGTTCTCGCGAAATAAGATGCGAAGGAGAAATCCTTTGCCGGATAAGAGTTGGTCACACGCAGGTAAAGGACGGGCACCTGAGTGGTGGACACTGGCCTGGGTATCCTCGTTACGACTAGCCGCCCACCGTTCGTCACGTTATCCACTCAGAGTGTCACTTAACCGAAGACAGGTTACTTCGTTTTGGAGGGGATTCTCCAAGCATTGCCTGTCCTAACATTAGTGGCGTTGATTCTCGCTGGCTTGCCACGAGTCGCCCGTTTTCATCGTTGGCAAACATGTGCTTTTCATCTATTGGCATACCTCGTTAAACCTTTAGCACTGTTTTGGGCGCAAAATGGCCAGAAGTGGTCGGCGCACCCCAAAACCCCAACCACCACCGACCAAAACTGAGCGCAACGCTACGCAGCCCAATCCCCCATTCCCCTTGTTAGGCTTCCGGCACGCTTCACATACGCCCCTCCCCATTCATGTGTAACGTAATATGCGGCCGGCCGCAAATGAACTCCCATCACTCGGGCTGCTGATAATCTGCAATAAGTTTCTACATACATGGCCACCACTGGTACATTCGACCCTAACGCCCTAGTGGCGAATGAAAAATGGCCGTCTTCTCCCGAGACTTGAACGGCATATTGGTTCGAAGGCTTGCCGAATGATTAATTACCCTCGACGAAAACCTGTGGGGCCCTCTAGCTTTGCCGCAGCTGCTGGGCTGTGGGATATCTGTAAAGGTATGTTGGATGCGGTAAGAAGCTAATTGGTTTGTTTTAGAACTTGCATTCGGCGTAATGTCATGTCACATGCCGCCTCGTGGTTTCCAGATGTAACGTTGTTTCAAGAACAGCAGTAACCCTTGACCTTTTTGACCCTGATTGAACGGCGCGTCATGAACTGCAGTAAATCTTGACCTTTGACCACCGGACTCCATCACCTAGTCACAATGCTGAACCTCGCGTGACTGGAGTGCGCGGAAACAGCCCCACCGCGGCTGGCAAAGACTGCCTGCACCTGGACCCTGGGTATGCGGTTTCTGACAGAGTAATCCTCTGATGAAACCTGATAACCTGGTTGGAGACTATGTAAAGAAAAATGCACAAGAATGCAAAACGAAAGGAAAGAGAATAATGTGAAAGTTCCGGATGATAAAGGGTTTATACGTGAAAGGTCATCTTTCTCTTTACGATAAGCAGGGACAAACTCTGGGAGCCAAATGGATTGCAGACAAGGCTTCATTTTGAGCCACACGAAAGGATGTCAGTGGTTTAAGTGATAAAAACTAAGCACACTGTACGTAACAGGGCCACGCTATGTTTAAATAACGAGTGGTGCTAATGCGAAGCCAATGCAACAGCTATCATTCACACCGATGCAACAGAGACTGGCATATTAAGCGCGTTAGAAATAAATTATAATTCCAATCTAAGAAACAGTCGTTAACAGATGAATATACCAAAAATATCTTTGGAATTCCTTTCGAAAGTCAAGCTTCATGTTTTTCGCGTACTTTGATCGCTTCCAGCATATCGCGATACCGTGATATCGTGGTATCGTGGTACCGTATCGTATGACCGCTACAGCGCAAGAATACTTGTTAACTCATTGCTCCATTCGATGGTCAAACGGATATCGCTGAAAAGGAGTGTGACATCGCAACAGGACGCAATAAGTGCAATAGGATTCACACGAAGCCGTCGTATTTTAAAAAAAAGTTATAAGACAGACACTTTAAATGGCCGCCTAAGCCTGTAGAGCTGGCCAAATGCGTGTCTACGCACTACGTACTCCCTACGCACTACGCACTCCCTACACTCCCTACGCACTCTCTGCGCGTACCTTAACGACACCAGCACCATGGCGAAGATGAGGTATTTTCCGAGCAGCGGCACGACCAGCGACGTGGGCGGGATGATCTCGACCACCAGCAGGAAGAACACGTACAGCGAGGTCAAGATGGAGATGGAGAGCGTCACCTGGCGGCGAACGCGGCGCGCCGAGTGTGACGCTGCGTCACGCCTGACAGAGCAGCTCCCACGGGCCAGCCGCCCGTCTGTCTTCCGTTCGCTGTTTGGTCTCATGTCACAGGGATGATCCATGATGACCTCTGTGATGCATTGGCCAAATATGTATGCTCACGTCGTGGCGTTGTGGCGCTTTTCTTGTAATAAAGCATATGTGGCGGTGAGATTTGGGGTCATGTGATGAATGTCTGGGGGCAATATTAAGAGCCCTTTATATCTCTGGGGTTGACAAGACAAAGCAATGGAATTATTTATCTTTCATGCTGATTTAGAGACAAGCATTTCCATTTGTACATGCTCAGGTGTTGTTTCTTACAAAGCACTGGCCAGAATGTTTGCAGTATACGGCGATTTGCCGTGGAAGATTCCACAGAACACCGACTTGTAGGCTTTGGTAAAATCGAGCGAGCTATTTTGAAGACAAATACATTGGTTAGACTAGGTTTTTGTGCTTTATTTGCACATCAGCCTTGCGAAAATGTTTTACCTTTTCTCCGCTGTCCGACGGGAGATAAAATGTTAGCACCGTCAGGAACGAAATCCCCATGCAGGGGATGATTAGGTTGACGGTGTAAAACAGTGTCTTCCTCCGCATAGTAATGTTAAACGTAATGTCCAGATATGGTTCGTCGCAGCAGGTGTAAAACTTCTCGTGCCTGTGGGCAGAAGCACGAACATTCCGTCGCAGGTAAACAACGGAGGCGCCGTGCAGCCGTCACGGTTGTGACGCCCGGAGCCATCCGCGCCGAATGCTTTTGTTTGCTATCCAAAAGGCGCAATCAACGTGCCGGTACGGTACCAGGCGTCAGGTGACAAGCTGTTGACGGATAGAGGCGGCTTCAAACGGCCTACGGTGTCCATTGTCCGGCACAGTCCCTTGTCTACGGCCGGAACCCGTGTCGTATGGCTGCAGCCTAATCTGACCAATCAGCCTGTGCTAAACGAGGGATTTTATGGTGCCAGGGACAATGCATGGACGACCAGGAACGACACCCATATGAAAGGGAGCGAACCTACGAAAAACGTTTAGGCATTGTTTGCGTAGAAAGTAATGGCACGCTTCCTGATTCATCTGATATTCTATTATTCCACCAGAAACCTTTTATTCGCCCGTAATAATTGTGCAGTTTTGGTACAAACGTGGACCGTATGCCTCAACCTCAACTTGGCAGAACTTTCAATGTCCATGACGTCCTAAGACGCACGCCCATTGCCCGAAGCTCTCAAGCGACACCAGGCCCGAGTGGAGCAGGCTGTACAGCATACTGCAATGCACCGCGCACACACTCACCGAATGGCAGGAACATCGAGTATATCCCACTCCACAGACTTGTAAAATTCGGAGAGATCAATACCAACTTTGACGAGATCATGGCCCTCCGACTCATCCCGATGCCTCAAATCCACCTGAAACAGACCGAAATCAATCGTACTTCACACGCAGTCTCGGGACGCGTGAAACACCACTCATGGCGATGCAGACACTTGCAAAAGACGCGGCCCGGCGGGTGTGCCAGCAGACGCGCGGACTTTCCACAGAGTGGTAGATATCTCATCATTTTCCCATTGAAAAGCAAGGCCTTTCCGGCGACATCGACCTTTCTCAGCCTTCTCAGCCACCGTCAAGAGACCTGAAGTGATTTAAAAGTCGCCATATGGTTCAAACACGTATGACAAAATATTTAGCAGCGTTCTACAGACAGGCGATGTTGTAAAATGTGCGTCGAACGAGAATAAGTAAACATTTTACAACGTAGAAAGTCATGGCCAGTTCTTCAGTTTCATCAAAATCATTGTCCATACCATGAACTTGCTGCAAAAGACCCTGGCCCATTCTCACCAACGTTAACAACTTAGCGGGCTGATACTTCCTATTGCGCGTTGCACATAATTGCACATTTTTGTGCCATTTCGATTGTCCACTAATAAGTTACCATGCGTCACTGGCGTCAGACCGATTTGACAGATTACAACAGGGCGAGGTTGTAATAGCGCTGACCGTAAGCGGTGGGAAGGAAAGAGGGATCTCGGTAGTACACGACAATATAAAATGCATAGCCACGGAAACGCGTGACCTTGCGCGCACTGGTTATCCTTAGCAGTCATATCTGGTATTTTCCTGGTACAAACTGGTCATCCTCAGTGGCCATATCTGGTATTTTCCTAGCATTATCAATATATCAGTCGCGAGTGGGCCTGCTGCGCCCGCTCGCAGCCAGTGTATTTCCGGGTAACTCGCATGACCAGCTCGGACCAGGAAGAACTTGCAGCTGATATTGAGGAAGTCAATCTCACGAACGGCTGCCGCGAATAATGTCGCAAAAGGTTGCGTGTATGTTCAAAGGTCTTGCTCTTTTATGTAAGAAGACTTGCTCTTCAGTGCTCTGTGATGTTAATTTGTAGTTTATTTTGTCGTTGGGGTAGCGGGAGGAACGCTACTGGTTGCCAGTTCATGAAAAGCGATTAGGAAGACAATTCCAATTTCGAGCTTTTTCTTCAGGTAATTCAAGCGGTTTCCTTCTTCAACAACGTTATTTTTGTGTTACAGCCTGGTTAATGTCTTTGTTTCCAGGGTGCAGCGAAAGTGGGACCCGTCTCCCAAACAGCGCACAAGACACCGGATGCAACACAACAGCTGGCATTCCTCCGCACCTCTCCTAAGACCAGGTAAAATCAACCTCGCCGACGACTTCGGTCAGCGCGCCTCCGCGCGCGGTCCACGAGCGGGGGTCGTTGTCACATACCCCATGACCTCCGTACGCGATCCATGAGCGGGGATCGTCGTCACACGCCGCGTGACCTCTGTACACGGTCCACAAGCGGGGATCGTCGTCACACACCCCATGACCTTCGTATGCGATCCATGAGCGGGGATCGTCGTCACACGCCGCGTGACCTCTGTGCACGGTCCACAAGCGGGGATCGTCGTCACACGCCGCGTGACCTCTGTACACGGTCCACAGGCGGGGGATCGTCGTCACACGCCGCGTGACCTCTGTGCACGGTCCACAAGCGGGGATCGTCGTCACACTCCGCGTGAGCTCTGTCACGGTCCACAAGCGGGGGATCGTCGTCACACACGCCGCGTGACCTCTGTGCACGGTCCACAAGCGGGGATCGTCGTCACACGCCGCGTGACCTCTGTACACGGTCCACAGGCGGGGATCGCCGTCACACACCCCATGACCTCCGTACGCGATCCATGAGCGGGGATCGTCGTCATACGCCGCGTGACCTCTGTACACGGTCCATAAGCGGGGATCGTCGCCACACGCCGCGTGACCTCCGTCAAGGCCGTTACGCCACGAGCTGGGTCACGTGACGCACTAGGGTCGTTATGTGACGCATAAGGGCCTTCACATAGCGCACCGAAAACGTCATGCGACGCACCAGATCCATCACATCACACCAGGACCGTCACACTGATCTGACACACCAGTATCGTCACGTGAGGTCGTCACGTGACGAGCCAGGGCCGTCTCACGTGGCGTATGAGGCAACGATACGACTGTAGCGCAGCTGCCAGCCGCGCCGGGGATTTGCCACCGGCCGTAAAGTGGCGAGATGACGGCAGGCGCTGTCAACGAAAATGACCAGGTCGAACGCGGCGCGCGGCCGGCGCGGCCGCCGAGCCGAGGGCTTGCTGCCGTGCCAAAGCCAGAGGCGTGGGCGGCGCGAAATCACAAGGAATAAATGCAGGCATGTATGCATTATACACACCCATCCACCTATATATATATATATATATATATATATATATATATATATTGTGTTTATGTCATTATAATTACATATACTGAAATGAATATAAAAAGCAAATCTTAGTCCGAACTCAACGTACCGAAAACCTATTTTACCTACCCAAGCACGAGGTTTTTCGAGCTGCCATGTAGTTTTATTTAATAATTTCGCCAGTTAAATGTCGAACTTAGAGGGGTATTCGCATGTGAGGACATTGAAGCGAGCATCAGATATTATGAAACAAGCTCACTTATCATTACTGGTATGCTATTAAGTGGAAAAGACTACTCTAAGCAACACAATTTTGCTGTTTAGAAATACGCTCCTGAATGCATCATGTTTTCATTACGCCATCGTACCTTGCAAAACATCGACTGAGAGCTAATTGACGGTCGTTATATACGGAAATCGTTCTCACGAACGCCAGATATGAATGACTTGACAATTCTATTTTTGGCCTTGGTCGCCGCATGGCTTCTGAAATGGCATGACTCGAATGACGTTTTCATGACCATAAATGCCAAGGTGGCCTTAAAATACTCCCCGAAATAGTCTCCCCATGTTCGTGGGTGTCCAGCTCAGAAACTAGAGTGGTTTAGATCTTAAGAAGGGCAGAGCTGTGAACTGCGCCGAATGATTTTCAAGATGGCCATTTCAGTTCAAAACGCGATAGAAACGTAGAACACTACCTTTAAGAGCATATCCCCTCAGTATATCAGTTTCTTCATGTTGAGTTAGAATGCTAGAAAAGCTATGCATATATACATACATATATATACATATATATATATATATATATATATATATCTGGGTTAGAGGGGCGTTCCTCCACTCCAGTCACACAGGCTTGAGGAGCGTCACCCATCAGATGGGCTCGACAGGCATCATTTCACCCCAGTCAGAAGGCCTCGAAGGGCGCGTCTTCCAACCCTGTCAGAGGGGCTCGAGGAGCGTGTCCCCCACTCCTGTGAGAAGGGTTGGAGGAGCGGCTCCTCATCCCAGGAAGACACGCTCGAGGAACGTCCCCCCCCCTCCCACCACTGTCAGATGGGCTCGCGGGGCATCGCCCCACCCCAGTCAGAGGGGCTCGAGGAGCGCGTCCCCCACCCCTGGGGCTGGAAGGGCGTTCCCCCACCCCAGCCAGACAGGCTCGAGGAGCGCCCCTCCATCCCAGTCAGACAGGCTCGACGGGCGTGCCCCGCTCCGCCAGCGGAGACCGAGGAACGTCGCTGTCAGCGTCGACCGCGTCGTCGGCACGACTCGGCTCTGATGTCACCCAGTGGGCCGGAAGCGGCCAGGCCGTCGTGGCCGCGGGCGCCGCACCTCTGTGCCGCTCTTGGCGAAGCGAGTTATGAGCTCGGTGACCGACTAATACACTGCCGGCTTGACAAGGCACGTGTCGGCCGGAGCGGCTCCTCGAAGACACAGACTTATATCGATGCTGAGGCTGAGACATGCGCGATGTGAAGCCAATATTTCAAGGAATTTCATTACCGGTATATGCCATGACATCCGTCCTCGGCTAAAAGGGTGAAAATCTCCCCAGCCTTAAAGCAGCGTTTTATGCATTCCGTCTGTCACCGTGCCATCAGGAATCTCCATATTTATTGGCGCGAATCAATGGGCGGAGCTCGCCCCGGTGGTCGGGTGGGCCCCACGTGAATACGAGAGGGCGCGGGTGATCGGTCGACTGGCGCGACAGCAGACCAGCGGCGGCCGGAACAGCGGGCCCGGATCAGCAGCGAACGGAGCAGCGGGGCTCAGACCAGCAGCGGCCGGATTAGCGGGGCCCGGACCAGCGGCGGCTGGAGTAGCGGGGTCCAGACCAACGGCGGCCGTCGTAGCGGGGCCCGGACCAGCGGCGGCCAGCGTAGCAGTGCCCAGATCAGTAGTGAACGGAGCAGCGGCGCCCAGACCAGCAGCGGGTGGAGCAGCGGGATCCATCCGACTGGCCCTACTGCCTTGGCGGGCGGCGCCGACGGAGGCGCGCACTGCCGGCCGCCGCTGAAACAACCCGGCCGGCGCCAGTGTGGTCAGGCGCGTCTCTGATGCTGTGATCGATGGCAGCGCCGGCCGCGGATCATTTAGCAGCGCCTGACGAGAGCGGCGGTGTCAGGAGGCCGCCGCGCCGCTGCCCGCGTGCTGCGCCGCGCCGGGCGTCGCCGTGTCGGCGGCGCTCTCCGGAGGCCCCGCTCGGCTCGCGCGAGTTAAACCTCGGACGAGCCTCGCGACGCCCGCTCGGGCCAGCACGTACCTGGAAGCCGTCGTAGGTCCACGAGCCGAACTTCATGACGCACGTCTGCTCGTCAAATGGGAAGTACTCGACGTCAATGAGGCACGAGGACTTGTAGATGGCCGGCGGTACCCATACCACCAGGCCGTTGAAGTGCAGCTTGGCCTTGGTGGTCAGCGTCACCTCGAAGTTACCGTCGGCACTGCAACAGAACGGGCCGGTCATCTCTGCAGAAGCGGGCGAAATCGAGCGCGCCATGCGATCACGTGCCATACATTTTTCAAAACTACCAATCATTTTGACATCAGCCCCTTTCGACCGTTATTAGCGTGCACCGGGCTTCAATCTTTAAAGAATGATGACAACCATTAGAATTCAATGACACGGATTATTGGTAGATCGGAGTGATGTGCTAGCGCGTGTATGTATAGCACGCAACCAGAAGCGGGAAGAGGGGGGGAGGGCTGTCCTGCGTTCTCCGCGCTCTATCTTACAAGTGTTGTGGGACGGAATGCAGCATGCCTATGTTTCATACATTGGGTGATTTGAACCATCTATTTGGTTTGCTACTTAACTGTCAGGTGTACATACTAGTTTACTGATACCGTCACAGTGTAGCGTGTAGTGCTGCTACGTTACTGACCTGGCGTTGCAGTCTTCAATTAATGTTTGGAGGGCCATCATAAGCCCAAAGGCCTGCTGCTGTTAGATGGCAAATATGGCCGAAGATATCCAAAGGTCATGGAGTTAACACCTAACAAAAAAGTGAGCAATTTATATCATTACCCGAACGGCCCATGCATTTAAGAGTTCGTGCTTATGACGCTTCAGCTGTTTCAACCTGATGTGCCTTTTTGCATTGTTACGTGCTTTGTTACGTGTTTTTTGTTATTGTTGCGCACTTTCAAAAATCGGCCTTGTCCACTGCACGGCATGTCCAGCAAATGCAGCGACGCCGTGGGAGGGTTGGTTAAGCTTCGGTTTGCTTCGGCTGGAGGTAAGCTTCGCTCTATTTCTGACCCGTCCCAACCTGCCCCGGTGTTCTCCCGCTTCCATGCATAATGCAATCGGTGGAGCGCTGTCCTCAGCTCGGGAGAAACGAATAATTCCCCTTAGTCAGTGGCGGCAAATGCTGACGTCGGACGTGACGTTCCTGATGACGCGCTGTCGTTGGCTGACGTTCGTCGCCTCCGTGCGTTAGCGGGCAAACCTAACGCACACAATAGAGGAGAACCACACGGCACACACACACACACACACACACACACACACACACACAAGGCTCCCCGCATTGATCCGTTCGCCGAGCTCGCCCACCGCCCCGGGTCCTTTGGATGATAGCACAATGACCATCATACTCGCAGCAGCGAACCCGAAAGGCGATTTGGAGAGGTGCATGCCATTGTATTTGACTGGAAGCTACGACGTCTGAAAGGTGTATCCGAGCTTTGAAGCTTGAATGCGCCGAGAGATGTATAGCACACATTCTGACTGACGGCTGGTTCCGAGCACACATTAACAGTTATACGCACACCTCACCCAGATGTCACGCAAGTCCATGTGCTTCACCAACCGGGCGTTGTCAGCTATAATTGCTGGTGTATTTCTCTACACGAGTTCGCGTGGCATTAGCGTCACAGCCTCCGGTGAGCCTGCGGCCTGTGGGCATATCCCTGCGGCGATTATTACACCGATGCGCTTGTGCAAGCCTGGGATATTTTAAGTTATTTCGCCTACCACGAACACTGCTGATTACAAACGTTCTCTATAGAAGGTTGCGGCGTCTAGCACTGGGACTGGGCCTCTTCCTGGAGCATTACTCTGTCGGTTTCCAATAAATATATGCATTAGTTTACTTGCGTATTTCGCATCAAGGAAACTATCAAACTGATATGCCGTCGCGGTACAAAATTTTGAAGTCTATAAGGTGAACCTCGGTGTTTTTACATGAACTCTCACTTTCTGTTGACTGTGAAATTTTATAATTATAGCCCATGCGTAGAAGCCATGATAACTTTGCTATTGCGTGACCATCCAACTAGTTTGCTGTGTAGTTTCACGGTATTGCCACCTCACCATAGATCACGAACAGGTGTGTAGAACCATCAATCCGCCTGTTGGGTTATGCAAGCGACGACCACATCGAATGTGCACGGCGGTGGACGCACATCACGTGCGCAATCCTCGAGCGTGACCGAGTAAATGTAGTGTTCACCAGGGCCGCGTGAAAACGCGATGGCGCTGTGCAGTCGGTCGCTGCGGGGCGCCGGAAGAAAATGTGTGTGTGGTGAGGGGTCGCGGAGCACAATGGGTTCTGCAGGATGTAATGACGGTTGTGAGTTTGCGGTCACGAAGCACACTGGGTTCTGCAGGGTGTACGGACGGTTGTGAGTGTGGAGTCACGGAGCACACTGGGTTCTGCAGGTTGTAAGGACGGTTGTGGGTGAGGGGTAACGGAGCACACTGGGTTCTGTAGGGTGTATGGGCGGTTGTGAGTGTGAAGTCACGGATCACACTGGGTTCTGCAGGGTGTAAGGACGGTTGTGAGTGCGAGGTCACGGAGCACACTGGGTTCCGCAGGGTGTAAGGATGGTTGTGTGGTGTGGGGTCGCGGAGCACACTGGGTTCTGCAGGGCGGCGATACACATAGCAACGTGCTGGGCATCCAGTGAGCCAAATCTGACATACACACTGTTGGACCGAAGCTAACCTAGCTCAGGCGTGTGCGCCATGTCGCAAGGCTTCATCCGAAGAGAATGATCATTCATAGATGGCTTGATTAATCCCTCTTCGTGGCATGCCATTACGGATGGCATGGAACGCGGGTTAATGTGGACAACCCATCACCACATCGTGTGACTCCAGCGGGGCGTCGGCTGGAGCCGACCGCAGCTCACCTACCCCGGTCTCCCCGACGCTGCCGGTACCGCAGCTCACCTACCCCGGTCTCCCCGACGCTGCCGGTACCGCAGCTCACCCACCCCGGTCTCCCGACGCTGCCGGTACCGCAGATCACCTACCCCGGTCTCCCCGACGCTGCCGGTACCGCAGCTCACCTACCCCGGTCTCCCCCACGCTGCCGGTAACGCAGATCAGCTGGGGGAGCGTGGGACACCGACCAATGTGTAGCAGCCATGTGTGTTCGGCCACCGAAACCGCACTGATGAGGCCGGCTCGCCTTTCATGTTCCAGTGGTAACTGGCCGAGCCAGTCATGGTAAAACGGGGGAGACCGTGCTATGGCATTGCGGAACAGATTTAATAATGCATCACAAATCGCCCGCTGAGCGGACATTGCTCCCTGGAGTTGTGGGCTCAAGGCATTTACTACAAATTTTTTAGCAGGGCGTTGATCTTGAACCCATTCCGACAAAACATTAGGTCAATTTGTTTCAAATATGTATACCACATAAAGGTCCATCCTATTCGCGTTGCATTTAGTGACAGCAACAATCCATTCGCCGATACTGAAGCCGAAACTCTGCGGACGACTTCCACGGGGGATCTTGAGAGATGAGGATGCAGCAGACCATTCCGAAGCTCCCGAAGTACTCCGCACACGGCAAGAGTGACCGAGGACTGCTGCGAGAGGTCGTGCCGAGTTGCGTCTGGCCCCAGGAGCCGCCGAGGGGGGGGGGGCATGCAAGCGCAGGTACTGACTTGTTGTAGAGCACGATGTCGGGTCGCCAGATGTGGTCGGAGGGCACGTGCAGAACCTCCACGCCGCCGTACTCGCGCGGCTCCCAGATCAGCTTGTAGTCGTGCCAGCTCTGCGGGCACGGCGCCCGACACACTGCAGAGGCCGCACAAGCCACGGGGCGGAACACGGGGACCGCACGGGCCACGGGGCGGCACACGGAGACCGCACAAGCCACGGGGCGGCACACGTAGACCGCGCAAGCCACGGAACGGTAGACGGAGGCCAGACAACGGCGAAAGCGTATCACCGCCACCGGACGCAATACACGGCGATGCACGGGGGGTCGCATGCGCGTCACACACTGAGGGCACTGCGAGACGCAACTGCAGGGCGATGCATAGAGGCGAAGCACACAGCAGCGATAGAGAACGGGGCAGAGTGCGCTGCATAGGCGGAACACTGAAGCTCCACCTTCTGCAGAAGTGGGACATGGGGACAGGATGCAATGCAGAGCAAGGCAAAGAGATGTGGCAAGATCTTGGGTGACAATGAAAGGTCGAGGCCGGCAACGACAGTTCAAAGCAGCATACTGCACATTGAACGATCGTTAGTAGTAATCTAGTGCACCACAATACACGTTCGGGGAACGTGTGGCAGTTCAGGCCGACACCGTGCATGGTCGCAGAGAGGTGACAGCAGTCCAGAGTGACACACTGCACAGTCGAGGAGCGGTGATATCAGTCCACAGCAACACACTGCACGGTGAGGGGAGCGGTGATAGCAGTTCACAGCGACACACTGCACGGTCGGGGAGCAGTGATAGCAGTCCACAGCGACGCACTGCATGGTCGGGGAGCGGTGATAGCAGTCCACAGCGACACACTGCATGGTCGGGGAGCGGTGATAGCAGTCCACAGCGACACACTGCACGGTGAGGGGAGCAGTGATGGCGGTCCATCTATGAATGATCATTCTCATCGGATGAAGCCTTGCGACATGGCGCACACACCTGAGCTAGGATAGCTTCGGTCCAACAGTGTGTATGTCAGATTTGGCTCACTGGATGCCCCACTGCATGGTGAGGGGAGCGGTGATAGCAGTCCACAGCGACACACTGCACGGTGAGGGGAGCGGTGATCGCAGTCCACAGCGACACACTGCACGGTGAGGGGAGCTGTGATAGTAGTCCACATCGACACACTACACGGTCGGGGAGCGGTGATAGCAGTCCACAGCGACACACTGCACGGTGAGGGGAGCGGTGATAGCGGTCCACAGGGACACACTGCACGATGAGGGGAGCGGTGATAGCAGTCCACAGCGACACACTGCACGGTCGGGGAGCGGTGATAGCAGTCCACAGAGACACACTGCACGGTGAGGGGAGCGGTGATAGCGGTCCATAGCGACACACTGCACGGTCGGGGAGCGGTGATGGCAGTCCACAGCGACACACTGCACGGTCGGGGAGCGGTGATGGCAGTCCACAACACACTGTATGGTCAGGGAGCGGTGATGGCGGTCCACAGCGACACACTGCACGGTCGGGGAGCGGTGATGGCAGTCCACAGCGACACACTGCACGGTCGGGGAGCGGTGATAGCAGTCCACAACAACACACTGTATGGTCAGGGAGCGGTCCAGTCCAACCAAGGACCGTCACCCGCCTGCCGCCGAGTACATACCGCCGTCAGACAGTCAATGTGGGCTGCGAGAGTCTTTTCAGTGTTCTGCGCACTCAGTTCCTTCCGATATGTTGAAAGCTTTATCATTATCAATGCCATAGCAGCAATGATCACAGGTTAAGGATGAAAAACTTGACGTTTAATGCCTTTGTTTATTATGCCGTACACATTGTGTTGCTCTGTATAATAACGCAAATAAAAAACGCAAATAACGCATGCCAGAATGCAGTACGTAGAATTCATATAATACCAATAACGCAAGTTGTTCAGTGCATGCGCGAGGGATATTATTCACATGGATAAGACAGCAGTAATATCCTTGTTCCTCGGAGAAAAACCAGAAGAATGGAGATATAGTTGGGTTGATACTTCGGGAACATGCCTTTATCAAAACAATAGCATAAGTGAATTCACTTCTGCACGGCTGGGGAGCTACAAAGTGAAGTCACTTCTGCTATTGTTTCGGTAAAAGCATGTTGCCGAAATATCAACCCATCTATATCTCCATTCTCCCGGTTTTTCTCCGAGGAGCAATGGTATTACTACTGTCTTATCTAATGTCGATCTCTTTCTCTAACGGACGCTTATTTTCTGTTCTCGATAAGTTGGAACAGATGCACATTTCATTGATCAAGCTTCCATTCGCATTTCATACAGATGGCTTTGTTTTACTGTTGGTGTAAATTATCTTCGAAATGGATGCAGGATCACATCAAAAGACATGAAACAGTCAGTAGCAAATCAGTATGTGCACGTTGCTTAAAACATGCTGCCTGCTCAACCTGCTCCTACTTACCTGCTCAACCCACAAATTTGTGGTCATGATTTGATTCTTTAGGTTCTGAAACAAAGAAACAATGAATTTTTACATATGTTTTGCACGCAACCAGCAAGACGGTTACAATTTGAGGCGAAAACAAACACAGATAAACGACGATGACAGGAACGCAGGTGTTACGAATAATACGTGTCCAAGTTCGGTCTACAACACGCAGATGTCGGTACATCTGACTGTTACAGAATAATGTCCCAATACAGTGAAGGACGTGTATTGCTGTACAATGAAATTGCGGCCTCAGCTCTGTCCTGAGCCTAGGGGCTATGGTAGGAGCCTCCCAACACTCAATTTGACAGAAATTATTTTCAGTATATCCTGTCACCGTTTGTTTGCACGGGTAATTTCGTGCACAACTCTCTCAAGTTAACGTCACACCTTTTGAGGAATGTGGCTAAAAACTAAGAAGTCCAACGGGATAGGCAACATTCCGATGTGTATGAAATCAGCTGCATACCTTTACTAATGATTTTAGCAAAATGAGCAACGAGTTGCAGCACCCTGTGCGGTGCCCTCGCTCTCCTTTCCTCTCTGTTAATTCCTTCCTGCACTAATGAGCTTTTTGGCTGCAAAAAACCAACAACAATTGTATTGCACCGCATTCCCAATTACACGCCCGCTGTAATAAAAATACAAGAAATATTTTGTGGTAAGCCCCACAAGACGCTTCCCATGCACTATTCTGGACAACCAACAGCTGGACTACGTCATCTGCTTATAGCAACGCTGCTGTCCTGGTGGCATGTGTGCTGCCGTCCTCCATCAGGGAACAGACGGGCAAACACACTCCCCGTATTGCGGGGAAAACAAACCGGAGAATATGATCCTCCGGGCACACAGGCGCGCAAACCGCCGGCGCAAATGGAACCAGAGAGTGTGTGTGTGTGTGTGTGTGTGTGTGTGTGTGTGTGGTGTGTGTGTGTGTGTGTGTGTGTGTGTGTGTGTGTGTGTGTGTGTGTGTGTGTGTGTTGTGTGTGTGTGTGTGTGTGTGCGTGTGTGCGTGCGTGTGTGCGTGTACGTGTGTGCGTGTGCGTGTGTGCATGTGCGTGTGTGCGTGTGCGTGTGTGCGTGTGGGTGTGTGCCTGGGCGTGTGTGCGTGTGCGTGTGTACGTGTGCGTGTGTACGTGTGCGTGTGTGCGTGTGCGTGCGCGCGTGCGTGTGCGTATGCGTATGCGTGTGCGTGTGCGCGCGTGCGCGTGCGTATGCGTGTGCGTGTGCGTGTGCGTATGCGTGTGCGTGGCCGACACAACCGCATGAGCTGGCTGCCTACACTGGCCGACCACCCCGGACAGCGCACAGCAACAACCGCAGAACATTGAATAAAAATCCATCGCTTCTTTACGGATATTTTCAAGTGAAATTAAATGGAAATTGGCTAGACAAAGTGAATAATTTCCAATTGATAACAAGCTTTCGAGCGGAAGGATTCCCGTACATGATATGTGGTGCGAATATCCGTTTGATCAGCCGCTGGCAAATTAGGTTTGCATCACCAAGCCTCGCTGCCTAATGGACCCCGGTAATTGAAACTTATTTTGAATACAACGGCAGCGAATGGATTCAGACTTGGGTACCCCTCTAAACAACAGTGGAGAAGAAGCAATGTTATTAGAAATGTATGCGACAAGAGCAAATGGCTTATACGCTGTTGATGCGTAATGAATACATAGCAGCGGACGTTCAAAAGATGTCTCACCAACGTGGTCTAACTCTTGCGAGCGTTACACAATTCTCAAAAAATGGCTACCAGCTACACGCGATAACGTGTGCGGGCTTCTCTCTCGTCAGCGAAGGGGTTAACGACACGTTATTTACCACGCAAGGTGCTACCCCGTTCTTTGCATCAAGCTTGTAGACATGATAACCGGCTGATGGGCACCGCTGTCTCAGTAAGTCCACAAGCCGCGCGCGGCGAGGCAGAGGTCAGGCCAGGGAGTCCCGGAGGGCAATGTACCACGCCCAAACCACCAGATTAAGACAAGCACACTTTCCCACTCAAAGTGTCATTCCAGCTCAGTCTGGGTGTACATGCAGGTCAGCGTTTGACGGGCTGCCTCGGTAATGGCATCACTGGTCGTGAACACGCGAAACATTTGGCTCCTTTTACGGCGGAAAAGCCGAGCCGTGGCCGAATATGACCGGCCGTAAAAGAGCCGTTACACCTCACCGAATATCTTTCGAATGTCGCACCGATGACAGCGCGTTTCCTCAAGCCCTGTTGACGCAGAATTTGCGTACTGAGACTCCCGATGTCAGTCTCATCGCATCCTTGAAATGTGCACCTGCGTGCCTGCAGCCGACGTGCAGATGTGTCGACTGCGTAGCATACAGACTTGGCCTTCCGGCATGTTCCGTCAGCAAAGCCAATATTATTCTGTAGCAACGGGGGTATCGGCAGACGCGAACAAATCGGGTCACTCTAACCAGGTCTCTGTCAGACGTGAATAACTAGGTCTCTGTCAGACGTGAAATATCATGTAACGTGTGCACAACAACGAGTTTAGTTGCAACTGGGGTTGATTTCTTGGGTTGCAAAATATCTACACTGCTAATGAGTGACACCTATCTCGGCGAGTGTTTTTTTTTACTAAAAATAAGTTCTGCGTCTATATAAGTGTTTCTAAAGCATAATATGACATGCACTGTGAAACTTGCGAGACGTTCGGACCGATTACTCGCCATCGCAGTCTCTTTGCACGAAAATTCTTCAGCTTCCATGAGTCAATGAGTCCCTGAGACGTTGGTACCTCAACTGAGTGCGCCACTGACCTGCATCATTTTCGATGCTGTAAAACAACACATGAAGCTGATAAAGTACAAGTAGGCGGGGTTTATCAAGTGCACCAATCATGATGTGAGTTTGATCCCACGCTTTCCGCATCAAGTGCGAGCCCGAGCCTGAATCATGAAGTGTTTGGCCTGGGTTCGAGTCTGAGTCAACCAGTTCCAATAGACTTGGGTAATGCCTAGCCTGAGTTCTGGTTGGAGTGTCTGCCTCCAGTCCGAGTCGGTCTTAACCTTTTTGTTTCGAACTTGATGATCAGGATGGTTGGGGTTTTAGGGCTTGTTGACGTTTTTTTCTCGTTTTTTTCTGACGTTTTCAATTTTGCGTCCAAGTTTGAGCTTGATTCCAAGTACCAGGTCTTCCAAATATCTGAATCCAAGTCTGATTCCTTTCTTTTGGACTGGAGCATAACCCAGTTCCGATTATTCTGTGGCCTGAATCGTGACCTTTGCGTCCGACTCCAAAGATGTTTTAAGCACGAACTTGACGTCCGGCTGACGACCTCACCTCTGGTAGCTACGAGCGTAAAAGTAAGTTTGAGGGCTCAGCGGTGACAAATGGCACGGTCTGAACTGAAATAGGCCGACAAATGGTTTTCTCTCCGGATTTGACCTACGCTTTCCTCAAAGCTGAGGGCTGCAGTCTAAACTGGGCAGTAATGGGGGTCCCCCCATTACTCTCCCTCCTCTCATTGAACAGAAACTACACCCCTGCTTGCGGCTCGGACCCACTTGGCGCGGTTCCTTTCACAGAAGGCTACCGTACCCGGGCCCATGGCTGCCGCCCGCTCCGAAACCGCTCCCGTAATGCGGGCATGCGCGTGAGAAAATCGCCTCCGCAATGCAGGCATGCGCGCGAGAAAACCGCCTCCGTAATGCGGGCATGCGCGCGAGAAAACCGCCTCCGTAATGCGGGCATGCGCGTGAGAAAACCGCTCCCGTAATGCGGGCATGCGCGTGAGAAAACCGCTCCCGTATTGTGGGCATACACGTGAGAAATCGCCTCCGTAATGCGGGCATGCGCGTGAGGAAACTGCCTCCGTAATGCGGGCATGCGCGTGAGAAAACCGCCTCCGTAATGCGGGCATGCACGTGAGAAAACCGCTCCCGTATTGTGGGCATACGCGTGAGAAAATCGCCTCCGTAATGCGGGCATGCGCGTGAGAAAACCGCCTCCGTAATGCGGGCATGCGCGTGAGAAAACCGCCTCCGTAATGCGGACATGCGCGTGGGAAAAAAGTTGGTCGCTGTCCAATATAAGTAAAGAAAGTTCATACTTGACATACGCAAATGCATGCAAAAGATATACATTAATCAGGGCCCCGTCGTGTGAATTGCGCCGCTTACATTGTTTTTTTTTCGTTTTGGAGTCAGGTGAGCGATATTTGACAGCATTCTCCGTCCATCTTTTCTCCGCCGTGAGCCGCGAAAATCCAGCCGCGTTTTCTCGGCTCTCTGAGCTTACCATTCATTTCCCTGGGTAACGGTCCGACGACGCGTTATTGCGAAACGCTCTGGGTAGAACAGAAAGCCGGTCACAATGCTTTAGAGTTTACCAGACATGGTTTTATATTTAAATCGCATGAAATTCCACCAGCACTAGTATGGGGAATTTTGCTCGCCCAGGTTTTGAGCATACGGTGCCTGTAAGACCAGAATAAGTCATATGGCCAAGCGTCTGCGGCAGGGGCACCTGTCGCGTTATAAGGGAAAGTTCGGTCCCACAGCAGTGACGTTTCTCTGTTAGTTCATTGGCTTCGATGGGACGACAGTTATATGGGCAGTGGATCATAGGGATATTTATGAGGACCAGGCTGCCATTCAGAATTGGACATGTAGCATACAGGATTTATGCTGGCCTTCTGTCTGCAACAGCCATGGCTCTAGATATTTGCGCTAGCAGCTGTATAAAACTACAAAACGATCTTATTTTACAACTAATATCGAAATTTGTAATGGTTCTGCTGGGTGCACCAGCAAGTGAGAAAAATGTTGCTGGACGACTCACATTTTCAGTATTTCAGTATTCACATTTTTGATGGACAACGACACCAGCTGCAATGAGTTAATATCACGCAGGATTTCCTTTAGCTTCGGTCAAATGTCGCATCACAGACACTCATCAAGTACATCGTTACCGTTATAGGCATCGTTAGCGAGCGCAGCGTCGCAGAATGTGTCGCTTTCGACGCAGGCGGTCTTCTTTCCCTGGATGCCGGTTT